TTGACAAAGACAGTTAAGCCCAAGAAGAGAGTAGCACTTTCTGGTGTCTGTCACAGGGATGTAGGGATCTCTCCCAGACTCACTGAACAAGGAAGCCCACTGATGTTTAAAACAAAGGAGGAGAGGGTCTTTCATCCTGAACTACTTGGGAAAGGGGAAGGAGAAGCTGAGGGTTGAGGGAAAAGAGATTTTCCAGGCTCAATGCATAAGCGATTACTGGTCATCACTGCTGTCCAGGTCAATCCTGCCAGAGCAGTATTGGAGCACTGAAAGCAAGGGGTGACTTCCATTCTTGGGCCATGGGAACCGTGCAAGAAGTGTAAGAGATCTGATTGTCTGTTTGCCACAGACATGGCTGAAGGGGTCCAAGACTTAGCCACCTTTGAAGCCTCCAGGCAGGTCAGGAAGTTGCATCTCCAGCCTTCAGTTGACACCAAAGAGTGCCCCGGCCAGAGCACGCTTATTGCTCGAAGAGAAACTTTCCTTTCCACTGGCTGTTTTTGGACCTCCTCCTAAGCAGGTCAGATCTTGAAAGTGAGAGAGTTTGAGGAGGGAGGGAGCTGAGAGTTGAGAGGAGAAAAGCCTTGGTGCACTGAAGTTTGGCTCCACCCAAGTAGCATTGGCAGTCCGGTATAAACCCGCAGCCAGCTCCCAATTTCTGAGCTTGCCTGCCCTACAGCTATAATGTACTCAGAGCTTTTTCTCACATTCCCAAGGGAGAAACCCTCCTTAACAAGAAAGAAAGAGAGAGAGAGAGAGAGAGAGAGAGAGAGAGAGAAATTCAGCCTGAGAGGTCCACTGTAGCTAAGCTGTGTGGGGGGGTCTGTCCTGGAAAATAGACTCCATCAGGGTGCTGGATGATCATGGTCACTTCCTAGGCAACCTTCTCCAATTTGGCACAATCTATACCAACCTTAGGTTGCCAAATACAATTCACAGATAACACATGCAGGAATTTCAGGTGTTCAGGGTTCTTGTGTCCACTCTGAGAATGAAAGCACAGGCAGACTCCAGCAGCAGAGGTCAGAAAGATTTTATTTGTAGAGAAGAGAAGAGAAAGGCTGCATGGGGGGCACGCAGGTGGATCTGGAAATCAGTGTCCCATGGGTTGGGTTGGAGATTGGGTTTTATAGCCTTTTTGTGTTTTGCCCAAAGGCAGAGATGTCTCTCAGGGGCAGACAGAGGTTTCCTGGGAAGGAGAAGTGTTTCCTTGACTACTTATCACCTTTTGGGACCTCCTGCTGTCTGTTCTTCAGTTTCTCTTGATATCAATGTCTAACTTTATTCCACTAAAATCTGATAAGATATAAGAAATTGTTTCAATGTTTTGTATTTGTTAAGACTTGCTTTATGACCTAACATGGATAAAGTTCCATGGGCTCCTGGATATGCCACAGTTATTAAATAGAATAGTCTGTAGATGTCTGTTAAGTCCATTTGATCTATGGTGCAGTTTACTTCATTTATTTATTTACTTATTTATTTATTTTAGTACTGCAGATTGAACCCAGGGCCTTGCATATGCTAGGCAAGCTCTCTACCCCTTGATCCTTGCCCCCAGCCCTCTATGGTACAGTATAACTATAAAGTTTCTTTGTTGATGGTTTTATCTGGATTATCAATCTATTGATGAGAGTAGGGTATTAAAGTCAACCACTATTATTGTATCTGGACTCTTTATGTCTATCTTTCTCTTTATGTCTGATAGTTTTCTGAAACTGGGTGTGTCGAAATTTGGTGCATATGTACTTATAATTATCATCTCTTCTTGATGGATTATTCCCTTTATTAATATATAATCTTTATCTCTACCTAATTTTTTCTTTTGAAGTCTGCTTTGTCAGATATGATTATAACTACTTCTGCTTGCTTTTGGATTCTATTTGCTTGGAATATCATTTTCCATCTTTCCTTTGTGGAAACTTCTTGGATGTAATCCCATTTGTCTATTTTTACTTTTCTTGCCTATGCTTTGGGAACCTCATAAAAAAAAATCTTGCCTGCACCAAGGTCTTGACTATTCTCCCTTTGTTTATTTCTGGTAATTTTATAGTTTTGGGTCTTACATTAGTCTTTGATCCATTTTGTGTTTTTTATAAAGAGTAAGAAGTAGAAATCAACTTGATTCTTCTGCATATATAAATCTAGTTCCATGCTACTTTGGTTGCTGTAACTTTGTAGTGTATTTTGAAATCAGATATTGTGAGGCCTCCAGTTTTGGTTTTGTTGTTGGTGTGTTTTTTTCAGTTTTACTTTGGCTATCCTGTTCATTTTTTGTGTCCTCTTGAATGTCTTTCATCAATGTTTCATAATTTTGTTTATAGAGATCTTTTATTTCCTTATTTAAATTTATTCCTATATATTTTATTTATTACAGCTTGTGTGAATTGCATTGCTTTCTTGATTTCCTAAGTTCATTATTGATTTTTAAAATATTGCTGTTTTTTGTTTGTTGTTTTGTATACTGTAACTTTACTGAATTTATCAATTTTAAGTTTTTGATGAAGTATTTGCATTTTCCTATGCATAAAATAATGTCATCTGCAAACATGGATAATTTGACTTCCTCCTTTCAATTTGGATGTCGTTTGTTTTTTTCTCTTGTCTAATTGCTCTTGCTAAGACTTCCAATACTGGTAAGTAACAGTGGTAAAAGTGGACATCCTTGTCTTGTTCCAGATCTTAAGAGGAAATTCTTTCAGTCTTTCCCCCTTCAATATGATGTCAGCTGTAGGTCACCTTATATAGCCTTTATTGTGTTGAAATATGTTCTTTGTTGAGAGATTTCATCATGAAGGGATAGCAAATCTTAGAAGTTAGTGTTTACAGTTCAATTTTTTTTTTAAGAAATCTGGGAAAATGTGGGGCAGGGAAGCATTTCATATGTAGCATTTGGCATAGTTTGTAGTACCTTATACAACAAATGTTAGTTCTCTCTCTGCCCATAGTGACCAGGAGAGAATGCCCTTCTCAAGTGCTGAGGAATAGGATAAGTTTGTGCCATTCTGGCCCATTGACCTTAATTAAGGGCAAGAGAAGAGTGGAGTAGGCTGTGGTCACCTGGCCATGTGCTCACGATAGCTAGGACTGGAAAGGACAAGGAGTGGCAGGCAGCTCCATTATCTTTGATAGAGAGTAGGATGAGTAAAGACAGAAGAATTCAACAAGACAATTACTTTGCATGACTCAGATGCAAAAAAAGAGGTCAAAGAAGAACAGAAAATAGGTTAGATGTTGGCATTTTTAGCAGTCATTAGCAAAATTCTTCTTCCTCTTCTTTGTTTGGCAGTACTAGGATTCAAACCCAGGGCCTTGCTTATGTTAGGCAAGTGCTCTCCCACTGAGCTACATTCTTAGTCAGCAAAATACTTCTTAAAGTGTATTCTAGAGCTGTGTTTCTCAAAATTTACTGTGCACACTAATCAGTTGAGAATAATTTTAAAATTCAGGCTTTGAGAAATGCAAATTAAAACCACACTAAGATTCCACCTCACCCCTGTTAGAATAGCCATCATCAGCAACACCACCAACAACAGGTGTTGGCGAGGATGCGGGGAAAAAGGAACCCTCTTACACTGTTGGTGGGAATGTAGACTAGTACAACCACTCTGGAAAAAAATTTGGAGGCTACTTAAAAAGCTGGACATCGATCTACCATTTGATCCAGCAATACCACTCTTGGGGATATACCCAAAAGACTGTTACTCCAGAGGCACCTGCACATCCATGTTTATTGCGGCACTATTCACAATAGCCAAGTTATGGAAACAGCCAAGATGCCCCAGCACTGACGAATGGATTAAGAAAATGTGGTATCTATACACAATGGAATTTTATGCAGCCATGAAGAAGAACGAAATGTTATCATTCGCTGGTAAATGGATGGAATTGGAGAACATCATTCTGAGTGAGGTTAGCCTGGCCCAAAAGACCAAAAATCGTATGTTCTCCCTCATATGTGGACATTAGATCAAGGGCAAACACAACAAGAGGATTGGACTATGAGCACATGATAAAAGCTTTAGCACACAAGGGAGGGGTGAGGATAGGTAAGACACCTAAAAAACTAGCTAGCATTTGTTGCCCTTAATGCAGAGAAACTAAAGCAGATACCTTAAAGCAACTGAGGCCAATAGGAAAAGGGGACCAGGAACTAGAGAAAAGGTTAGATTACAAAGAATTAACCTAGAAGGTAACACCCACGCACAGGAAATCAATGTGAGTCAATGCCCTGTATAGCTATCCTTATCTCAACCAGCAAAACCCCTTGTTCCTTCCTATTATTGCTTATACTCTCTCTACAACAAAATTAGAGATAAGGGCAAAATAGTTTCTGCTGGGTATTGAGGGGGGGAGCGGGAGGGGGTGGAGTGGGTGGTAAGGGAGGGGGTGGGGGCAGGGGGGAGAAATAAACCAAGCCTTGTATGCACATATGAATAATAAAAGAAAAATGAAAAAAAAAATAAAATTCAGGCTTTGAGTTGATAATTCTAGGGTGAGGATGAACAAGCTCCTAGGAGATGCTGATGCTGTCAGTTCAGACAGTAGACTGAGTGGTAAGGCTTTTTTTTCCTTACATACTTATAGAGGCTCTGAGTCAAAGACTGGTGAAGAGCACATAGGAAACTGATTAAACAAAAATTAATGGACTTTTTCCAGGCAATATTTTCATAGCTTTAACCTCCAACTTTTAGGGGATTAAAAGAGATACTGAAATTACTGTTTCTGAACTACTAAAACCACAGAAACTGATTTTTTTTCCTGAAGTACCTAATTATTATCACACAGAGCCCCATGGAGGAAAAGCTTCCTTAGGAGGCCCTAAACTGAAAACTCCTGAAGGAGTACTACATCATTCCCAAAGCCTCTGGGAGAGGCCGGCCCTCAGGCTTCCAGGAGATGGGGGTTTTTCCTCTTTTCATCAGGCCCAGTAGTTAAAAAGAAAGCTGTGGAGAGGTGCCTGTTGTACAAATATGATATTTCCTTCATTTCACTTCTAGATAAGAACATCTTTTGCTGAAGTAAAGGAGAAGTACCTGAGTGAATACTGTTTTTCCGGTGTCTATATTCTCTCCCTTCTTCTGCAAGGCTATCATTTCTCAAACGATTCCTGGGAACAAATTCACTTTATGGGCAAGGTAATTTGGGTATCTATTGGGTGTGTGGAGGTTGGGTGGTAGTGACTGCAGCTTTGGGCTTGAAAAAGGTGGGAGTCAACCTGATTTAAGTATTGGCCTGATATCCTGTTCCACCATTCCACCTCTAACCCAAGCTGGCCCTCTGTTTCAAGCCCTTCCAGGAGTATCAACCAGCTATGGGCACCACTCTAAGGAGAGCTTGCACACTCAGTTGAACCTTTCTGCCCAAATAACAGTGACTTGTTCTCATAAAACAAAAAAATAAGATACTAAAGTAATGTAACAGCACTTCAGGAGCCACAGTGATTCTGCATGCTGACTTCAAAATCCCTCCCAAAGGCCCCTTCTGCTATCCAGGAAAGGGTAGTAGGATTTATTTATAAGGAGTGAAGGATTGTGTTTGTTTCAAGGCTCACCAGTCTGAAAGCTGTGTATGAAGGAAGAAACTGAATGTCTGTGAATGCGGCCATTGCATAGAAGCCAGGCTTAGCATGACCCCTGAAGAAGTAACCTCCCTGCTGTGCTTTATCATAGCGCCACCTGCAGGTATTCAGGCATAAAGAAACACTGGCATCAGCTGTAACTCATGCTTGATGAAAAGTATCAAGAACAGTGTTTCTCTGTGTTTTTAAACCTATGTCCCCTAATGGCAAAAATGTTGATTTCAAGCAAAACAAAGCATCAAAATAGAGGGTTGTATCAGCTCCCAGGACACTGGTATCATTATACTCTTCATTACTGACCTTGCTAATTCAGACCAATCTTTTCCTTCTTTTTACATCCCAGACTTCCTTCCATTCCATTACAGTCTATTTTGTTTCTTTGAAAGACCTAGGTTAAATTTATGATTGACATGCTGGATAGTCCTGATTTATATTTTTGAATCCAATCATGATCCAATATTTCTAAGCCTCTAACTCTGGACACTTCCTTGACACATGTAGTCATACAGGGTTTTCCATCTGTTCAGAGGAAAAAGTAGACCCTTTACAAATTAATTCCTAATGTTAGGGAGGGCTTGAAGGAAAGGAGAATATTGCCACATGATATTTGTTGGAATGTAAATTGATACAACCTTTTGAGAGATTGTTTTGATAACATGTGCTAAGATTCTTAAAAATATACCTATCATTTCCAACTACTCCATTTCTAGGATTTAAAAATAACTGGTTAAACTGTGTAAAAGGCATTTCATGCCAGTGATGATGACATAGAAATACCTTAAGAGACACGGGACATTGTTCAAAAGGTATTATTAAATGAGTTATTCTACATACAACTTAATTCCATTTTTGTATGAAAGAACATATTCAGAGAGAACAGGAAGGATATGTCACAAAGAGGTAACAGCAGTAAGTCCTAGTGGTAAAGTATAGATAGTTTTAATTTTCTTCTTTAGACTTACCTGTACTTCCTAATTTTTCTACTATGACTATGCATAACTCATGTAATAAACCATTTACAAAACTATTACTCAGAGACCACTTATGTTCCAATAAGTTCTGAGGTGACTGGAAATTATTCCTAGGAATATGGGAGGGTCACAGCATGTTTTATCATTTAATTAGAATCCTTTCTCCTACATAGGAAGTCTTCTAACTTCCATAAAGTTGACTTGCTGGAGTTATTCCCCAGTTTCTTCCTAGCAAAGCTCTGGCAAAGATGTGAAAGACTAGGGACAATCATTATTCCTTCATCTTTTTGCCGCTTCCTATCACCTCCCCTCCCCTCTTCATATAAACAAGAAAACAAGAATGCAAAGCTCCAAAGTTCTATGTGAATTAAGTTCTTCCAGGCAGGATAATTGGGCATCCATTCAGAAATTCCTTTCTGAACTTTGGAAATATTTTTGAGGTTTCAAACTCTCTCTTAATCATTTGCTGCTATTTTGTTCACAACCATATGCTAAGTAAAGAATATAAAATTAATCGATTTGGGTGCTCTCTACCCTTTGGTTGCTCAGTGTTATAGATGAGGTTGCATGAAAACTAGATTATCTCCTTGGACCACAAATAACAGACTTTCCCCACTGTTTGCAGATCCAGGGCAGCAATGCTGGGTGGACTTTGGGCTACATGCTGAACCTGACCAACATGATCCCAGCTGAACAGCCGTCATCTGCACGTCTCCCTCACTCCATCTACATCTTCCTCATGGTCCTCTTCTCCCTGATCTTGGTTGCAGTGATCATCACAGGCTTGTTTATTTGTAACAAGCCTTCATATTTCTGGAAAGAAATGGTATAGCAGAAGTAGCTGAAATCTGCTGGCTGGAGTGAGAAAAGAACTTGCCCAGGGAGCACATTCCTCCAGGCAGCAGTGTACAAGATCATCCTTACTTGTTTGCCAGGGCCAGTCTAGATCAGCATGATGCTTCCTTGGCTTTGGCTGAAACCTTTCCTTGAAAGGTATTTCACTACCCTCTGCCTCAAGGACTTACTAGCAGAGACTGTCCCTTGTGTCTTTCCTAGCTCTTTCTGTTTTGTCCTCTGTACTTGTGTAGGTTAAAGACCTGCCACCTTTCATGATTTTTGCTTTATAAAAGACCAGTATTGACTTGTCTGAAAGAACAGAGTCCTGAGTCCTGTACTGGGAATTTGAGCTGGCTAAAAGAAGAATCTCAGGAATTGGCTCAGTTATTCTCTTTTAAGAATCCCTCTCTCCTTCCTTCCTCCTACTTATTAAGAAAGCCATACAATGCCTTTGGAGAGAGCAGACACATAAACTATTCCCAGCCTGCCCTTTGGGTAGTAGAATTTTCTAGTATAGGTAAATATGTGCTAAGGCCAAAGAGTTTTTGCAAGGGAATGTATTGCTTATGCACTTCATATAATTCTTAATCCCCTTAAAATAGGGATGTGAATGAGCCACATACACCTGGGTGATGTCAAAATACTACCAAGTAGAACACTCAGACCGGAGACTTTTTTAAAAAGCAGATGCACATGTAGACATTCACGTATCAGGGGACACTGTGGTAGGTATGTACATGTTAGGAAAAAAAATACAGTTACAACTCAGGGTTGGGAAAATGCATCCTCCAATGCATTTTTTTGAATTTTGTTTTATTATGTTAAAATATACACATCAATGTCACCATCTTAACATTCAGTACAATTTAGTGGCATTTAGTTGCACGAACATCACTACTTTGTTTCATTAGCATTTAATCACCTGGAAGTTGGCTAGGGACAAGACCATCCTTTTAGGTCTGCTCAAACCACAAATCTTCCTGTTGACAGCTAACTGTGTTAACCAACTGTACCACAAAGATGGCCCACTGAGTTTTAAAACCAGTCCACATCTTATTGTCCCAAGATTAATTTAATTCCAGGGTGGCATTAGTGTGGAGTGGCAATGCTGTTGCCCTGTCATGGTATTTACACATTAAAATATGTTAGGAATGAAGTCTGAAAGTGTTGCCATCTCTGTCATACAAATATTGGTTTCATTTACTTATTTCATAGACTATTTTGTGGGAGAAGTGGCTATAAACTTCATCATGGAAACAAAAAGAGACCCAGTACCTTTCCTTTAAAGACTGCTATGATATTTAACCTGTTGAGTAGGATTGAGTGGTGATACTATACTCACCTTAACCCAACCTGTTTATCCATTTCTGGGTCTGGGGACTGAGTGTCGAGCTGATGGGAAAAGCAAAGCTCTCCACAAACTAGAAGCCAAATGTCCCTGTGTCTCTTGAATAATCAAGCCATTTTTAAAAATAAAAGTTGGGTGAATATAAACAATAAACTTTCTTTTCTGTTATTCACAATTAAATTTACTGGGCCTTGATTAGGAATCAGAAACCAAACTGGAGTATATTCAAACTCTCCTTCTGGTGGCAGTTGGCACATTAATACAGCTGCTGTGTGCTCAGGTACATTGGGCTCATTTTCTCATTTCATTCTCACAGCAGTCTGAAGAATGTACACATACCACTCTCAATGCCCATGGCAACACTGAAACTCAAGTCTTCTGCCCTAAGTCTACTGTTTTTTTCTTTTCTAAACACTTCCTCTCAGCAAACTGGAGTTAGAATTTACGAGTTTCCTTCAGAAAACACAAATCTTTTCTTATTCCATTTCCACCTTGTTGTCGAAGTCTGAAAAAAACTCTTAAGGTATTTGGGAGTCAATATCCACTTGTCAAAATTTCAAACTATGAAGATCATTAGCAGGACAACCTAATCTCAATTGTATTGGAGGGAAGGTTGATTTTGAGGTAAATCCAGGAATCTGCTTTAGGCTATGCTGGGTGGACTAGGCCACATAAGATGGGTCACTATCAATTAATTTTAATATTGGATTGCCCACTGGTTATAATTGATTACAATCCATTCCTGGTCTTTCACCCAGGACTCAAAACTTGGTTCTGGTAACCCTATTCCTTCATAAGGTCAGGAAAATACTTTCTATGAACCTACAGGGGAAAGAAATCAGCAGAAATGGTTACATCTGTAGACAAAGAATGAACCTACTTAATTAGGCTGTGTGTGTGTGTGTGTGTGTGTGTGTGTGTGTGTGAAAGAGAGACAGGAGAGAGAGAGAGAAATAAAAGTCTCAACTCATTAAATTCTTAAATTACTAAGAAATGTAAAATGTGAAATAAATAAGTTTCAAAAAGTTTACTTAATTTTAATATTGTGTTAGTGTTAGTCAAGGTACCTGTAAGAAACAGATGGTATGGTTCAAACTCAATAACCAAGGACTTTAATACAGCAACTAAATTCCAAATATTTTCATTTCAACAAATAATCAATACAAAATTATTAATGAGGAATTTGGGGGTTTTTCATGCTAGGTTTTCAAAATGTTTTATGTATATTACATTTACAGGGCATCTTAATTAGAACTAGCCACTTTACAAGGACTCAACATTAGCCTCATGTAGCTAGTGGCTATCATATTGGGCAGCCTATGTCTAAAAAACACACTTAAAGTTAAAAAGATAAGTAATAGTTCTCAATGTCTTTTCCTTAGAAGGGAGGTCTTAAATAGATAAAATTCTATAACATTCTTGCTATTATATTTATTATATGTGGATATTAACATTTTTCTTAAACAAGTTTTTAAAATCCTAGCTGAGAATTTCATCTCATTCTTACGGTTTTGCTGCCTTTATGTGAAGGCAGAAATGCTTGTTATTCAGGCCGTGGTGCCTAATGAGAGACTGTGGGACATTTTCACCTGAATTCAAAGATAATACAAGATAGTTCTTGATGCTTGCATTCTGAAAAATGTATATTTGAATATTAAAATAAATTTCAGTCTTTTAGCTAGAATGCAGTGGTCACATTTGTAATGTCAGTAACTCAGGAGGTGGAGACAGGGAAGATCACAGTCTGAGGCCAGCCTAAACAAAACATTACCAAGACTCCATCTCAGCAAACAAACTGGATATGGTGGTGTATTCCTGTAGTCCCAGCCACACAGGAAGCTGTAGGTAGGACCAAGAGAGAACTGTGGTCAGAGGCTGTCTCAGGAAAAAAAATGCAAGACCCGATATGAAAAAAAACTAAAGCAAAAAGAGGTTAGGGTGTGGCTGAAGTGATAGAGCACTTGCCTTGCAAGTACAAAGCTGTGAACTCAAACTTCACGACCACCCAAAAATTTGTTTTTTAAAAAAGAACAGTCTTTTAATATATCACAGAACAAGTTTTGCTATGTCATAGTAAAGTTACTATTAAAATATATTCTCATTTACTGTCAATTTAAAAGATCATCTGAATTTCACCCAAATACATCCATGGTCACTTCCTGATTCAAATTCTGATAGTTGCTATTTTGTTAGAACATGACAGTTGCTTGTAATTAGCTGGGTTTATTAACCATAAACCCATTTTCTTTCAGTTGGTATTTACAAAAATTTTTTGTAACAAACTTTCAGTGGCTCACCACAATAAACATTGATCTTCAAGTTTATGAGTCTGCAAGTCAGCCAGGCAGCTCTGCTTCAGGTGCTGAGTCTGGATCAGGCCTCTTCCATCTATCTCTTGTCCTCCTTGTCCACCATGGACATGGGACATGGGAAAACATGAGACATGTTTTCATGATGAGTGCAGAGGCTCATGAAAGAAGAAAGTAGAATGTCTCGTAAGGCCTCAACTTGAACAAGCTCCTCATCACTCCATTCACACTCTATTGTCCAAAAAGTCATGACCAAGCTCAACATCAGCAAATTAGAGAAGTGCTAGAAAAAATATCAAAGGGCATGGACAATTATCAAATAGAGGAAAGGAGTGAAGCACTGGGCAAATGATTCAATATTCCACAGTGTCTCATGTACCTCCTGTATATTACAATATACTAGTCTTGAGAAGGAACAGTCTATTTAAAAATCATGACTTCCCAGTCTATAGCTTGATTCTACAGCTTTAATTTGGATGCTTTGGCAGCTCCCAAATTAGTCTTGCATTCTAAACTGGGAGATTTCCCAGGAGATCATGTGTCTATTTATTTTCTTTCTTCATGTGTTTAGGACAATGTATAATTACCCAACTTTTTATTTGCACATGAATCTAATGTAACTGAACACAGTTCAGTTGATTTTATCATGGTGAAATGGATTTTTTAATAATAGGGAGAGAGGTACCTCTATGAGTTTCTATTTAGATAAGTGGCATTTAGTGAGGGCATCGCTATATATTTCTCTAATGAGATAAATTAATCTCTAAATTGAAGTTATACAATGATGGCATCACCCTTATCAGTGCTGCAGTTACTTTTTGTTTGTATATCCCTTCTGCAGGTATGTTGAATAGCAAAACTCATAGGTGAACATGGATTAGGCAATGCCAAGTAAGATTCATGCATCTGAGAAGCAACCTCACCCCTTTTGAAGTTCTAAGAGGGGAGGAAAGTCTTGGAAGCTAAGCAGGGAATGGTGTGTATTTGAAAATGACCTCTGCCTTTACTCCTAACCCTGCTTCTGCCCTTCTATTTTATCATGATTAATACTCTCATAGCCTCAAGATCAGAAACATCTTCATCTTATGAACTGCCATTCTGCCTCTGTAACATTCTTCATTTTGATTTCCACTTCTTGTCTTATTGGAGTTGCTTAAGTAAAGATCTGTAATATATTTCACCTGTACTGATACCAGGAATGGTGATTTTGACTCTATTGCTGCTAGGTTCATCTTTATAAAAAGCAGACTTAATCACACTATTCTCCAACTGAAATCACTGACTGTAGCTTTCCATTGCTACATAATAAAGTAAAAAACTCTCCAACAGACATTCAAGATTTTCAACAGTATGGCTATTGGCTTTCTCCAGGCTCATATCCCATTTCACTCCTCTGATATTCCCTATATTCCAGTCAGGTGGACTGATTCTTCCCTAACACTATTCAGGTTGTTATTTCAATTTGGAATACCTTTGCCCCACACTACCTTCAAAGCTTACCTCAATTTCCACTCCCTTCTTCCACATCTCCCAAGTCCGAACATTTCCTTGTGCTACTATAGGCCTTCTTTTGGGCCTCCTAATTTAGCCATTGTGTCCAGTACTGGGATTATTTTTCTTGGGACAAAATATGTGACCTATTTCTTTCTGAAAAGTAAGACAGTGATATTTTAGTAGGACATAAGCATAATCCTAGTCAGACTCCCTATCCACTACTAGGCCAGCTACAAACCCTAGGTTCCTGGTGGGCTGTTCATATCACTATTTCTGCCTCACTATTTTTATTTATGTTACTTTTTTTTGTGGTACTGGGACTTGAACTCAGGGCTTCACCCTTGCTAGACAGGTGCTCCACCACTTGAGTCACTCCATCAGCCCTTTTTTGTATTGGTATTTTCAAGAGAGGGTCTTGGAAACGATTTGCCCAGAGCTGGCTTTGAACCATGATCCTCCTGATCTCTGCCTCCTATGTAGCTAGGATTACAGGTGTAAGCCACTGGCGCCCAGCCTATTTATGTTATCTCTTGATATGACCATCTTCCTCCTCCAGCTTTTAAGGACCAGCTGAGCCCCTCCTTCCTCCATGAAGCTTTCTGTGATTACTCTGGCCACATGGAGCTTTTCCTTCTTGGGATATGCGTTTAGTTTCTGTATAACACACCATGCAGCACTTGACTGCACTGTTATTAAAGTAGAATTTTAAGGATTAGAATGAACCTTAACAGACCATGATTTTCAAAATTTAATGCGGATGCAAACTGCTTAGGAGTCTTGTTGAAATATAGCTCTAGGGCAAGGCCCAAGATTCTACATTTCAAAAAATGCCAATACTGTTGTCCAGGGATTCTGCTTAGGATATAGATCACTTCATTGCTCCATGAAGTTTCTTTTACTGGCTCTCAGGTAAGTGATCATCTATTAACTGACAGCTGTCCTTCTCAGGCAGCTTTTTCCAATTAGGCCAGCTCAAGTGTCACAAAGCTTTCTCTTCTTCCACAACAATTCAAGTTCTTTGTCAGTTTTCTGTGCCTCAGGAGATTCCTCCCTGCCTTGCCTCTCTGCCTTCTGAAAACTCCTGCAGCAAACTCACTGAAGACTTGGTGTCCCTCAAGGGATTTTTCTCAGATTTCTTCAGTAAGTTACCCTTCCCCGACTACTGCCCTTACAGGCCCATGAGAAAGAATTGGTAGGTGATACATTATGTTAGTCTACATGAAACCTTTAAAAATTATTTAAAAATCTAGAGCTGGTTTATTACTATTCCTGTCTATGGTGGATTTTCACTTCTCCAGTCACTCTGCTAGATATGAAAGAGCTAGTCATTTTCAGAAATTTAGTTCATACAGGTTTTAGAAATTATAATTTTATAGTTTAACTAGCTGCTTAGAAGCTACAATTTCTTGCCATATGCACACAATAATTACTTGCAAAATGAGCAAGCAAATCATAAAGAAATTATTTAAAAATTCTTGAGTATTTTTAATATTCTTAATTCACAAATAATTGTGTATATGAGGTATAATGTGACTTTCTGATCTACTCATACATAGTAGAAAAATTCAATCTAATTAACAAATCTGTCACCTCATCAACCAATTTTTTTAGTGATAAGGACATTAGAAATCTTTTAGCATAAAATTATTTTTTATAATATTTTCAGCCAGAAATGCAATTCATTATCATACAAAACTAAAAATAGAGCCTTAATAAATCAAATGTATTTCCAGTTTTGAAAAAGGCAACAATTATTTGTATTCCACCTTGTTAGTTTCTTTAGGTATAGTTACATGTACTCTTAAAAAGTTGAAATGGATAATTTTATAATTATATAAATTGCCTTTTGAAATACATTTTTTATTATAAGATGATTTTTTTGCCCAGTAACGATGAAAAAGGAAGCAAGTACAGGTAATCAATAGCTTTAAAAATTAAGTACTCAGCACTGAGTCCATGTTTTCCTTCTTTTTCCCTTTTTTACTTTTTTTGAAACAGGCTCTTAAGATGTAGTCCAGGCTGGTCTGGTACTCCCTATATAGTCTAAACTGGTCTTGAACTTGTGATCCTCCTCGCCTCCCCACATGTTGGGATTGCAGGTGCCACCATGCCCAGCCCTTATTTT